CCAGTGACCCACGCAACCCTGAAAAGGAAGAAGCGTGTACAGAAAATGGATGGATGTTGGATGTTGTTTTGTTTTTACTGTTTGATGGGACTATAGATGTAAATGAGCCTTAGGCTAAATCTGGTGCAATGCATCAAATTATGTTTTAATTGCACACTGTCCCGAACAAATAAAACATTCAAAAAAGGAAAAAAAGAAGCACACATTTCATTATGCAAGCAGACTGATGACGATACATTGTTTAAATATTAAACCTAATTTTATTATTCATGTAAAAAGCTGTAAATATTTAGTTTTTAATCAAATCAGATATGAGTTTTTTTATTTTTCTCATTTGTTAAAAAAACACAGCAAATTGTTACAAAGTTTTCTGCTGCAGTGTGTTTAGGTCATCTTGATGCATTTTTTCTGATGAACATTCTGGAAAATGTGCAAATTTCTAACATAAAACCAAGGCAGCAAACTTTCACAAATGCTATACTATTATATTTTTTAATTAAATTAAAGTCTTCAGTCTGACAATGTACACATTTGTGTGGTTCTTGATGAATTATTAATGTGTAAAAACCAAACTCTCTGCAATCAGAACATTTTAAATGCTCCGTTGTTATAGCTTTATTTAATGCAGTTTCTCTTTTTTGTTTGTACATTGATTTTAAATCATAGCACAGTGGTCAATCAAATAATTTAAAGATCCTATTTATTTTCTTCTTTTGTTACTGATGTTGGTGAAATTGTGATCTAAATAATTCTGCTTCATTTAATTACAAGATACATATATTAATGCTACTGATTTCTGTTTAATTAACTTAGACTTTTGCATGAATTGTTAATGCTTTTACTCTGGAATGTCGTTAGAATTAAGATGGTTGTGAATTATTAACTTCCAATTGATTTATTTTGTAGTTGAGCTACATTTTCAGAAGCGACAGTTAGAGGTAACTCAGCTCCTTTAAAATGCTGACAGCTGTAGTCAGTTCATGCTGCTGACATCGTATTGATTGTACCTCGTCTGTCTACAGACTCCTTGCTGCAAGTAAATAAAGCTCAGTAACCAGATCTGCTGCTTGTTAGTCATTTCTTGTGTCAAGTGTCTTAATAACCAACTTATCCAAACCTAAACAAGAAATATTCACTCAGGTTTTATTGTTTATTTTAACCTGTAAAGAACACAGAATGCCCAGAGGAGTTAATACCTTTTGCAGCTCACTACAGCAGATAATTACAGAAAAGTGTTGGCTAATTCAGCTGAGTCATCATGTGTTTAATAATTTCTCATTAAATGTGTCAAATATTTCATTTGCATAAACACACGTAAAGATCAGGATTAAATGAATCTACAACAGACGTGTGGACAATCCTACACTTTAATCACCGTTAGATGTTCACTACAACACAGCTGATTAATGCAACAAAGCTGCAGGAAGAGGAGGTTTTCTCTGGGAACAAGGCACACAGTCCAGGTGCTTCTCTACTCAGTGTGTCAGCAGGCCAAACATCAGTCCTGTGGATTAACTTGCACTTATTACAACAGCAAATATAATAATAGAGTGCAGGGATGCAGGATTGTATCAAACATTCAGTTTACAGGATATAAATGAATAAAGGTAATAAATAACTGAGAATAAAGAATTAAAAAAACAGCAGCAATATACAGCATGTAACAGAACATACAACATGAAGGAAATGTTAGGAGTGGCTGCATCACGTTTACTGTGAGGCAAGCTTTGAAAAGCAGCTACATTTAAACAGATTTATTACGCAGTAGAGAAATGTGGGAATAATAAATATTCTAAGTATGACTGGGTCTGGGTGGTGATAACTTGTTTAACAGGTTTGTAAAACAGTCCAACAACTTTCCATTAGATGTGTGCAGGTGTGTTTAAGATGGTCTGTGTTTGTGAAGGGATTAGACCGAATAATCCCTCCCTGTTCTCCACAACTGTGGACTATAAAGAATTTACAGACTTAGGAGCACTTTGGTTTTAAACCAGAGTTAATTCAATCTTTTGATACAATGATTCCACATCTGTGTGAGCAGCTCCAGGCAGATTTACGGCCCTAACCACAGGCATACGTCTACCACAATGCTTTTAGTCACAGAACCCAAGACTTTAGAGAATTGGAACATGCAGGCTAAAAGTTTTCCAACATTTAGGAAGTGTAACCAGCCATGGCTTTGACTGTTATGACTACTGTGTGCGGTTTTATTCGTCGTCGTAATTGTCAGATAAATTAGGTTTTCAGGCAGCACATTATATTTAAAGGCCAAAGCCGCTTGTTTTGTAATTTTTATAGCACTTAAATCTTGTGAATTGGTCCATCTTAAAACGACTCCAGAATATATACATTGAAAAAAGGATTTGTTGTGCGAATCTCTTCACTTAGTTGTGTGGAACTACTTGAAAAAAACACTTGGTTAAGTGAATTCAACAAATCATTTTTATTCGAGTGTAGCTTATGTTTATAGCCATAAACTTGCTCTAACTAAGTWGATGTGACAACTGTTTTTTTTCTTCTTCTTTAATTTAAGCAGATGTTAACATAAAGATAGACAGTGACTTGCGATTAAAAAAAATCTGCATGTAGTATAAATTCGGGGTTAAAATCTTCAGGGTTTCCCACGGTGTATTAGAAACCTTGGGGGCCACCAGGCTAAGCATGTTTGTTTATTTAGAAGCAGCGCAGCAGAGATWGTGACTGCAGGATGCTCGGCYAGGACCTAGCATTAGCAACATAGCGCTCAGCTAATGTGGCATTAGAAACTATACCGTTTCCACTCCCATGGTGGCATTAATATCACTTCCACTAATACTGATCATTGTTTTTTTAACAGTACTGTAATATGTCATCTTTATGATAAATGTAGTTTTTTGCTAAAATGTTGCTTTAAATAATAAATAATGCAGGACATTGCTAAAGGAATAACACAACAGCCAATCCTGTTGGAGCTGAATATGGTGGATAGTACACAACCAGGGTGTTTTACTGCTGGTCCAGGTTAGGATTTAAAGTTCTACTTTTATTTACAGCTCAAACCTTTTGAAAGGGAAAATTAACCCAGCGAAAATAAAGTGGAATTGCACCTTTAAAAAAAGCAACCATTAACGCTGATGGTTGATAGACTTGTCTAAGTAAAACCCTACAACTGAAAATTAAGCTGACTGTATTTTAGTGGTAAATGAAACGTTTTCCTTCTACGTTTGTACTTAGATATGATACAGAGATGAGATCTGGGCAGCAAATGAACAAAATCTACATTTTAGTTTGATATTAACAGAGCAGAAAGCAGAACTTCATTCATCTCTCATACGTCTTCATCCCCCCTCTCAGTGAACCAGCTCCAGCTGGCTGCTGGAGAAAGGCAGCACGCCGCTGACGTAGTAGGCGATGCCGAGCGAGAGGAGGGCAATGACCACCAGCAGCAGCAGGACYCTCCAAAAGCCAAGGTCCTCCACGAACTCCTGCCAGGTGGTGCGGAAGCTGGACAGGACGCCCTCGCTGCTCTGCAGGTTGGGGTTCAGTAAAGAGTGGCTCTCCATGGCACTGAGACACACAGAGGGGACGGTCAAAGGGGTCCACAGAGACGGGTTTCAACACATCAAGTTAAGAAAGAAAAAACACAAATCTAAAAAAAAAAAAAAAACCATCAGGCTGGTTCAACAACTGATTCAGATATCCAATACCACATTTTCAAACCAAGTACAAGTACTATTTGAGTACTTCTTGATGGCAAGTACATATCAATATCTCACTGTATGAAATTAGTACATTTATGTGTAAAAATAATACTTTTACATACTTTTACACTGAGCTGCCCCTACACAGCTCCTCCATCAGGCTGGGGCGGTATGATGGTAGAGTGGTATACCTCTGCATTGAAATATGGTGATGGTATGTAGAAATCATGACAGTAGTGACCCTGGCCTAGTCACATGACCCATTTAAATCACCTGAGCTGGAAAGATATGCCTTCTCTGTTTCAACTTGTGTCAAAAGTAGAGATTTCAAACTTTCAAACACCAGTTCTTAAAGGGGCAATATCATGTAAAATCAACTTTTTTTGAGTTTTATATCATGTTATAATGTTATATTCTCATATAAAACATGCCCAAAGCCTTGCTTTGACTCATTCATGCATGTTTGAGAAATCCTGCAGCGTTTTTAGGAAGCCATGTTGAGGAGCAAAACGACAGGTGGAGAAACGCCTTTTGGGACCAGAAACGCCCCTGGAACGTGTCTTTAGGCTGAGCTTCCTCATCACGGAACACCCCCCCCCCACACACACACTCCTCCCCACACACCACACCCATGACTCCTGCAGGCTCTCGGATGAAACTGAAAGTGAAACTGAAACTATGTGCTGAGCTCTCAACACTACCTCTCACTCATTGAAGCTCTTTTCAGATTAAAAA